TTATAATTAAAGCATGAAAACAAACACAGGGTCCCAGTAAAGACCAGGTGTGTAACGGTTAAATCATTATATTTAGATCTTTGTATACAGAATATAGATTAGAACGTGCCACCCCTTCTCCTTCTCCTCTCCCTTTCTTCTCTGGCCCTGCCGACCCTACCTCTATCTAACTCTGTGCATAAAGCAAACCAATAAAATATCTTAACCTAAATAACAACTTTATAAACCAAACGAATTTCAGGCTAAAATGTAGTAAAAGATACAGCGAACCAAGTGAGAAAATATATATTTTGCTGACGTTTCGATGATCTTAATCGCCGACTCAAGACGATAAAATCGAAGTGAGATAGATTAAACTTAAAATGATTGGGTTTCAAGACCTACCAGATGTTTTAGCAGGGTCTGCAGAGGCAATTAAAAATACGGGTGAGAATTGATACACTTTTTTTTCTTCATATTCTTAGTTTATATCTCCTTTTTTTTGTCTTTTTTTCCAAAAAAAATTCCCAACAACTGTTCTTTAACTCTTATTTAGTTTCTTCATTTTATATAGCATTTTTTTTGGTCTAATTTATTTTTTAATACATTTCTTTATTTCATTACAGATCACTTTTTTTTGGAATTCAATATTGATTTTTTCTATATGTAATAAATTTCTAGGGTTAATATTAAATCTAATTCCCCCCCCTGCCTTTCGACATAGACAGGTATACATATATTGGATTGATAGACTTAATAGCACCCTACTGAGGAATTTATTACCCCCTCCTCCAGGACTAAAACTCCCCTTTCATCCCCCCCAATACCTCTTTAGTAAAAATGAATAATAGGTCATTATAGATTATTTATAAAAAGTGTTAATTTCCCCTGTTTTACGATATGATTAACGCGTTTTTACATTTTCCCCTAAAATGTTTTTACTTATCCGCCCCTCCCCCGCCCCCTTTTTATGCATTTAATCCTTTTCATGTTTTGAATTATCATTTAGTTTTCTTTTGAAGAGAAATATTTTCTTTGTTCGCTGTATTTAATTAGACTGACACAATCTAAGACGTTTCTTTCTAGATATTATGTGTTCTCTCTTCATATTATGCCTTTTTCATCTCTGAAGGAATTTGTGGATTTTTCAAACGTCTGCCATGTGAATTAATGAATTGCTTAACGTGTTGAGCTTGGGGTACTGGAACTTTTGAACCGTCTGTTTGTCCAATATTGTCTGCAGAACTAGCTGAACCGGATCCACTGGATATTTTGCTCCCTGGATCAGGGCCGTAAGGAAAAAATCTATAATCCAATCTAATGTGTAATTATACAAAAGAAATTGAAGAAGGAACCGGTTTCAGGATCCATATTTTTACAAACCACGGATTCTGATCAAATTTTAGGGATCATTATGAACACCGATGTACTTTGGGGAGTCCTGTTTGTATTTTTGTCCAAATTGTTTGTATCGCAATATTTCTTATTTTCCTCAATTGTCTGATTTGTCTGATTATATCATCTAATGCATGGACACAGTTAGAGTCAGCAGGGTGCCTGTGTACGCATAAATTTATGTAATTACAACATAATCCTACGCAGTTAACTACGCACATACTAACTTACAAGCAGCTTTCAAGCATGTTCAAGCATCATCATATACAGGGCTTACCTATAAAATATCACTTCAAAGACGACTTTCTAAAATCTAAATCATAATCAGTAAAGTCTAATCTTTACCCTGTATTCTCTTATTTATTCTATTTTTGATTTGTCAGTGCAGGGGTGTAAATTTCTTTAAAAATCATTCAAGCCCCGTTTTAAAAAATTTTCCCCCCTGAAGTTAGGTTTGTTTCATAAAATATTAATAATAAATAATAAATAATAAAATAAGTATTAAACTAGTAGAAATAAATATATAACTTATAATAAAATAAAATTATTTTTAGTTAAGAAGTATAAAAAAGGATATGCATGCCTTTTGATGTTTAAATTTTCATTTGTTGACCCCTGTGTGCGTGTAAAAAGCTAGACTAACAGACTATTATGACAGTCTGAAAGAGAATACAAAGAATGAAATGAAAGACGACGAACCTATAACCCAACTTTCTCTACGTTTGATGGCGTCATAATCCACCAAGTTGACGTCAAAAATGCGCAAATATTTGAATAATGTTATTGTCCTGTCTTGGCTTTAATATGAATTGTGAAGTAAGGGGGAATTTTCCCCGCCTAAGGGGAATTCATGGACAATGAAATTTAGGAATTTTCAATAGGTGTACACTGTACACTATACAATTCGTTAAAAATTAAACAAAATTGTTAACACCTTACAGGTTTATATATTAGCTAAGTTAATAGATCCAAAAAAAACCATCTTTTTAGTTTTCAGGGGAGGGGCTTAGCTTAATTATTGATTATAAACAGCTTAGCTAATCCCCGAATTGGATTTTAATTATAATTAAAGCATGAAAACAAACACAGGGTCCCAGTAAAGACCAGGTGTGTAACGGTTAAATCATTATATTTAGATCTTTGTATACAGAATATAGATTAGAACGTGCCAAATTTTATCTTTTTGGTTGAGTAATTTTTAAACTCTCAGTCAGATATATTCGGATAGCTTTTTATTTCTATATCTTTTTGGTAAATATTTGAACATTCGTTTAAAGAATTTAAGCAACACAGAAAAATGCGAACGTAAGGGATCCATAAAAATTGACAGAACAAACGAATTGAGCAAAATTTGAATATGCAAGATGAACAAAAAAATCCAAATGCATTTAATTAACAAATTTACCAAAAAGAAAAAAAAATAATTCAATTGATCTTAAAAAAGATGGCTAAACTCAACTTTATATGAACTAAATTCAATAATGGATTTAAAAAAAATGAAATAATGTTTAATATAAAGAAATGAAACAAATGGAAGAAATGGAGAAATGCTTGAACAAAATGGATGAAATTGAGGAAAATGAACTCGAAATGAACGAAATGAAAGTAACAGTAAAGTTTAGATAGATAGATAGATATTACACCGGAAATCGAACATGACCAGTTAGGTGCAGAGTAGCGTAACCAGGTGGTTGAAATCAAGGAAGGTGGGGGGGTGTTGGTGATATTTTTCGGAAGTAGAGAATTGTTAGAAATTGGGAATATACAGTGATCTGGGCGGTCTGGGGGGCCCACAATGGGGTCTCTTGCAGATTCCAATTCCTTATGATTCCTTACAGTGATGGTGAAAGCTTGAGAGCTTAGATAGACACTAGGATACTAGACACTAGGACACTAGACACTAGGATAATATACACTAGGATACTAGACACTAGGATAATATACACTAGGATACTAGACACTAGGATAGTAGACACTAGGATAGTAGACACTAGGATACTAGACACTAGGATACTAGACACTAGGATACTAGACACTAGGATACTAGACACTAGGATACTAGACACTAGACTACTAGACACTAGACTACTATACACTAGGATGCTAGACACTAGGATACTAGACACTAGGATACCAGATCCTAGACACTAGGATACCAGACACTAGGATACTAGACACTAGGATACAAGACACTAGGATAATAGACACTAGGATAATAGACACTAGGATACTAGACACTAGACTACTATACACTAGGATGCTAGACACTAGGATACTAGACACTAGGATACCAGATGCTAGACACTAGGTTGCTAGCCACTAGGCTACTAGACACTAGGCTACTAGACACTAGGATACTATACACTAGGTTACTAGACACTAGGATACTAGACACTAGGATACTAGACACTTGAATACGGCACAATAGGATGCTAGACACTAGGATACTAGACACTAGGAAACCAGATACTAGACACTAGGATTTCAGATACTAGACACTAGGATACAAGATACTAGACACTAGGATACAAGATACTAGGAAACCAGACACTAGGATACTAGACACTAGGATACAAGGCACTAGGATAATAGACACTAGGATACTAGACACTAGACTACTATACACTAGGATGCTAGACACTAGGATACCAGACATTAGGATACTAGACACTAGGATACAAGACACTAGGATACCAGACACTAGGATACTAGACACTAGGATACAAGACACTAGGATAATAGACACTAGGATACTAGACACTAGACTACTATACACTAGGATGCTAGACACTAGAATACTAGACACTAGGATACCAAATACTAGACACTAGGCTGCTAGACACTAGGCTGCTAGACACTAGGCTACTAGACTCTAGGCTACTAGACACTAGGCTACTAGACACTAGGTTACTAGACACTAGGATACTAGACACTAGAATACTGCACAATAGGATGCTAGACACTAGGATACTAGACACTAGGATACCAGATACTAGACACTAGGATACTAGACATTAGGATACTAGACACTAGGATACTAGACACTAGGATACAAGACACTAGGATAATAGACACTAGGATACTGAATTAAGAATAATATTCCTCTACGGGGAAGGAGAAAGTCCCCTACCCCTCCTCCCTCCTCCATTCTGTAAACCATTGTTTATTATGAAAATAAGTTAACACAAGATTATATTTCATTATCAGCTAATGTCTAGACTAACATTACTAACACTTAAATGATAAGTCGGTATTTAGAGGGGGGGGGGGGGGGGGGGGGAGGCAGTAATTAAAAATAATATATTTTTCTAACAAGTTATATTAATAAATTAACAAATAAAGGTTGGTTGCCTGTACCTTGATTTTAAAAGCTTTTATTATTAACCACTAACCAGAGCTGAGAACTTTTGTATTGGATACTTATGCTAATAATCCCGGATTCTTGATCTCGATAGTTATTTTAGTTATCCCTTCAGGGTATTATATATGGCGGTATTATAAATAAAGATTAAATTAATCTGCAGATTAACAAAAGATCGAGATCAAGCATTGATCTCGATATTTACAATACTGAGCTCGGTTTTTTATAATCTTTAAATTTAAATAAAAAAAGTGCCGATCCATATGAGGAAAATCCGCTAATTTGTGCTATATTTAGGTCGAGTGGATTTGGCGTCCAAAGAACGGGAAAGAGAGGAAAGGATACGACGAATCAAGGAGCAACAGGAGGAGGACAGAAAGAAAAAGTTAGAAGAATTGAAGCTCCATGTAAGAATTTTTTTTACATAAATACATTTTTTTTGTTAAAGAAATCACAAAATTAACATTGACTTATTTGTTGGAACTTTTATAATTAGTCCTGGATTTACGTAGGAGCTGGCAATAGGTTTAAATGTGTAGGTAGTAACTTATTAATGCACGATTGGAAATATGTAAGAATTATTATTAGATGATTATTGTATACAAGCATAAGTAACCGGATTGCCCATACACATAAGTTTGTTCGGCAAGGTTGATTATTTTATGAGAATGATAGGGGAATTGTTTTTTGATGATTTCGGGGAAAAAAATGAAAAATTGGAAATCAAAAGGCAACTTTTTTCATTCTTTTTTTATACTTTTCACCCAAAAATTCATTATTTTCCCTTTAAATAGTTTTTTTACTAATTCAGGGAAAAAAAACTTTTAAAAAAAGAATTCGCGCAGGCATAAATAAAATCTGGGGAAAAAATTATTTTCAACGGAGGGGGGGGGGGATATTCACCTCTGTTGTTCGGTTGCCACTGCCAGTGCCCATCATTAATCATATTTTTTTAATTGTCAGAAAACGGTAAATTTGCTCAAAATAACACCTATCCTAGGGTACCTACGGGGCACATTTTACTTGTAGTGGGCTACGGTACTGGGTGGCCCTCAAAAATATGACAAAGGTCGCTTTACAACGTAGTTTAGCGCACCGCCAGTAAAGAAAATTCATTGCAAATTATAATAATGGACATTTTTTTCCATTTTTACTTTTTTTTACTTGTTTTTAATGTTCAGGCTTTAATATTTTTGACTAAATTTTAGTTTAAACTAATTGCAATAAAATTCTTTCATTTAACTAAATAGACTAAACTCATATTAATAATTAGATCAGTTAGTTTAAATTTTTATGATTTACGTAAAATACTTTATTTGTCTGTAGGCGATAAATGCGCAAAAGTTTCGTGAACAGCAAGAGGCCGAGAGAAGACGACATATCGAAGATTTAAGATCCAGGTTGGTTAATTGCTTGATTGTTAAATTGGTTGTTCTGGTTATTGTTAAGTTTTTTATTAGGTCGGTTTATTAATTGGTTGGTTTGTTAATTGGTGGGTTTATTAATTGGTGGGTTAATTAGTTGGTTGGTTTTTAAGTTGGTTAGTTAGATAATTGGTGGGTTTATTAATTGGTTGGTTGGTAATTTGGTTGGTTGGATAATTGGGGGGTTTATTAATTGGTTGGTTTGAAATTTGGTTGGTTAGATATTTGGTGGGTTTATTACAAGGTTGGTTTAATGATTGGATAGTTTATCAATTGGTTAGTTTGTTTATTAGTTGGTCGGTTTAATGGTTAATTAATTGGCTGATAAATTGGATAGTTGTTTTATTGTATTAATCTTTTATTGATGGGTTGATATTTTTGATTTGGAACATCCTTTATTTGGTTGATTGGGCTATTAAATAATTGATTAATTGATTGTGTAAACTTTGTTCTAATTTTTTTGGATTCCTTGTTTGATTTATTTTATATATTGTCTAGCGAATGGATATTGTTGTTGTAATAATAAGAGGCTTTTTATTTAACCTAATAAGCTACTCAGACCATGAACTATACAATAAATATGATATCTATTTCATAGTGTTAGTTTTTTTCCTTTTCCAGGGATTTCTAATAATTCCCGTAGCTTTATAATAATTCCCGGGGATTTCTAAAAAATCCCGTAGCTTTATAACAATTCCCGGGGATTTCTGATAAATCCCGTAGCTTTATAATAATTCCCGGGGATTTCTAATAATTCCCGTAGCTTTATAACAATTCCCGGTGATTTCTGATAAATCCCGTAGCTTTATAATAATTCCCGGGGATTCCTGATAATTTACGGTGATTTCTAATAATTACAGCCAATTTCAAACATTCCGGCATAAAAATTATTCCCGCGGATTTCTAATAATTCTTGCGTATTTTTAGACTTTTTTTTAGGGATTTCGATCGTCGGCAGCAGGTTGAAGAAAGGCGTAAAGAGTTAGAGAGAACAGAACTAGAGAGAAGAGAAGCAATTCTTGCAAAAAATAAGGTACTTATTTTTTAGAGGCACTAGTGAAAGGATATTTCAAGTGACCAATTTTTATGAGCGCCATCATCAATTACAACAGTGCAGTGCATAAACAAACAAAAAGTCTGATTTCTCGAAATTCTTTTTTTAAATTTGTTAAAATAATCAATTTTCAGAAGAAAAAATATTCATCTTAACGGTGCTCATTGAAATGTTTAAATGGTACTTTAGTTATTGGTATTACTGGCAGTTAAAATTCAACCAACGTTAAGAAATTGACAACTTTAGCTAACAGAAATAAATGTTCAAGAGTTTCGTTATGATTTTTTAAACACCAATTTTAGGAGCGCGAGGAACGATTAAATCAACAGAGAAGAAATTCACGCGGAAATATGGAATTTGCATTTGGGAGCTCTGCGCCACGAATGACAGATCAAAGAGACTCCTCACACTGGGGCTCAAGAAGGTAATTAGTTTCGGATTTGCAAAGTGGAAACTTTTCAGATAAAAGCTTTCAATGTCATTTTTACTCAGTTTTACTTTATCTGGTTTTTAACAATTAGTTCATGAAATTGAATTATTTACTGTTTAATACAATGTTCAGTATTTTCAATTTGCGATTTTTTGAATACATTTAAAACAAATTCTTAAGGTACTTTTTTATACATTTTTAAACGGCATTTTTCATAAAAAATGAATTTCTTTACGTAAGAAAACCCTATTACTTATGTCGAGTGAAAATTTTATAATTTATCGTTGACTTCATTTTCAATTGATTATTTTTCTTATAATTTAATATCAACTTTAAATGAATTTTAAAATTCAAAAACATTTATTAAAATTAATATCTTTGAATCCTGTTCGACCATTAACCACAGTTGGGGCCGTAAGAGGTCACATAAAATATAGCCACTTAGGTATTTTTAAAATTCTACTTTTTGTTGTGTAGTATATTCGAGCGAAGATCTGTTGAACGTGATGTGGATTTAAAAAACAAAAGAACAGCATCAGCCCAGGCTCTTGACAGAAACAACGAAGGTATGGTACAACAAAATATTTGAGAAATCAGCAAAGTACAAAAACGTTGTTGAGAAACCTAGCGCCATCTTTTAAAAAAAATCTGCTGATTTCAAAAATTGTGTTTAAAAAAAAGTATAACAAAATTTCTATGTCTATGAAACTTTTCAGTCTTGTGAAGTAATAATATAAGCACAGCACAAACTAATTTAAGGCATGGTCCAAACTTGACTGGTTTGATATCGGCCCATGCCTACAGTCAACTTGATATCGTAAATGCTAGCACTTACCACAATAAAGTATCAACACCTTGATCTAACGAGGTTGCCTCACACCAGGGGTATACATTTTCCTGAGAAATTATCCCCCCCCCCCTTTAAAATATTTTTTTTTCAGCATGTTTGTAAAGTTGTTTTTTGTTGCTGAAATAGGGGAAATAAATGAATTTTGGGGGAAAATGGCAGAAAAAGGGGATTGAAATTGCCAGTTTTCCAAATTTTTGATTTCCCCAAAAAATCTGTGAAAATAATTTTCATTAGAAGTGTGGGGGGGACTAATTCTACAAAATATATACCCCTGCCTCACAATGTAAATTTAGTATTGTATTTTGTATTTACTTTAAGCCATAATATTGTAATATTGTAATATTGTGACCTAGCAAACGTTGTAATCTAGGTGATGGTTTAAAACCTTCCTTCTGTATCTTTTTTCTTCTTTACTAACCAACCACTATAATTTCATGCTAATTGCTATTCCTAGACTCAAAGTGGATTCGCAATTCTCGAGCTGCTCGTATTGGCGAGCCATTAATCAAGCCAAGATCTAAATCTAAATCGCAACCGGTGTCTCCAAGTCGTGAATCGCTTCCTCCTTGGAATTGGGTCGTGCGCGACATTGACATTGGAGACACAAAGTCTGATTGTGGCGGGTACAATGTTCAGACAAAATAAAATTTTGGTAAAATGTCAATTTCTTTTTCAGGGTAATACTTTTTTTTCAATATTCTCAATTTTAATAGTTAAAGAAAATATTCACAACGGTGCCTTCATGCCTTTAAAACCTTAGCATTCAAAAAATTATAAATTGTATTTTCAGTCACAAAAAAAGTGACTTGCGGACTTATGCTGCAGAAAAGACTGAAGAGGAAGGAAAAGTACAACATTTTATACTTCCAAGATAAAAAGTGACATTAGAGTTCTTTTTTCCCCTTAGACAAAGCTTAAAGGTACTGCTGTAAAGTCTCTGAAATTCGGGGTATACATTCTTAAATAAACAATTGTTATTTTATTTTAACGGTTTGTAGAACATTGTACCCGTCACAATAGGATCCGATTATATAACAAATCCACGGAAGATTTAAGATTTTGGCCGCCATCTTTCCGAGCAGCCATTCCTAGAACACGGTCCAGACATGACTGCAGTTTCGAACGGGGAACTTCATTTATCCGGGGTAAACTAATCAATCAATCAGTTTAAATAATTTTATTCATTTTCAGCACGTTTGAATTTTATTTGGTTTTATCGGTTGAATTTAGTTATTTTTTATTTTGTTTTTATTTTAATTTGGGCAAGACCAGAGTCTGACGTCATCATTTATTGCAGTATCATGCAATTTGTTGAATATTTTGCAACAAGATTTGCACTTATCTCCACCGCAGGCCATGTTCTTCATGTCTAACTATTTCAATGCATATGCCATTTCTAATTGAACAAATGACACTCAATTCAATGAAAATCTACCAAGATACTTAAGTTATGTGACTGAAACAAAACTTGCAGCCTGAGATAATGTTCAGAAAATATTTTCAAAATTATGTATTCTAAAATCACGAAATGGGGAACATATATATCCTTTACAATTTAGCAAAGAATGAAAAAATCATTTCATGGTTTGTTTTTAATTTATCTTTTTTCTCTGTAACGATATTGTGAAGAAGTATCTTCCAGATTGTTGGAGGCTGCCCCCCCTCCCCCCCCCCTCCCGCCCTTTCTGCCTTTCTAGCAGTTACCAAAGGCCACTAGAGTGTACACAACAGCTGAAATATTGCGAATTTTCGCCCAAATACTGGATTCTGAAATGGCAAGGTGTGGCTTTGAATTATTTTATTTAGTTGAATTATGCATAGAAAGCACACTGTGCATTGTTGTTCAGAAAAATAGTACCAAGTATTAGTACAGAAAGAGTGTTCATAATTGTAATCACAAAATAAGATTTGAAGGAAACATAAAAACTTGCAATGGGATTTTTCTTCTTTCCCAGGACAAAAAATATTTTTCTACTAAATATTTCATCTCTAAATTATCTTTTTGTGCATTTATGATTTACATCGATTTTTCAAGTTTTCTGATGGATGTAGTTTCTAAATGGCATGGTGATTATGTAAAATATGTTTGAATATTTTCAAGCTGTTAGTACTAAAGTCTATGCATAAATTTGCATAATTATCATAATTAGCATAATTATCATAAATATCCTCCCAATGATAATATTTGACAGATTCTACACTGCAAACTAAAAAAATGCTGTTTTTTAATTTAATCCTGATTAATGGGTCCCCCTCTAGATGAAATTTGATTTTCACTTATTTCTTTTTCTCTTTCTTTCTTCTTAGTTTCTTATTTTTATTTTCTTGTGTTATTTACAGCATTTATAAAATTCTGTCGTGGCGGTCATTTTGAAATCTAGCAATAAAAATGGCCGCCATAATGCTGGATCTGGAAAGATTTCAGTTCCTAATTGTCTGCAGGGGATGAGACTGGAAACAGCTTCACTGCTGCACAGATGGGTGCGCATAGGCGTAGAACTGATCTGATACCTACCATCTTGATGGGGCGGGACAGGGGATCCACGCCCAGTACTCCAGGTAGAGCGGTCAGTATGTCCCGTATTGACCAGCTGGCTATACCCCGCTCCCAGCTTGGTAAGGGCATGTCTAAGAGTGTGAACAGTAAGAGCATGTCCCACCTGGCCCTGAAGAAGACAAGTGGCCAGGCTGCTAACAGGACTACAGGACATCAGAGGGCAGCTACAGCAGCCCAGCCAGCTAGAAAACCAGGTGGGTCAACCCTCTTCCAAACAACCTTTACATTAATCGACAGGAATTAAAGAAAGTTAGTTCAATTTCCTCTCCTGTCGCGCGATGTAAAGTTTTTAAAAATCTTTCTCTTCCATTTCGGTTTATGGACTATTAAACTCCCAATGTCATTTTTTTTCAAAGGCTTGGGATTGCTCCCCCCCCCCCCCTTCTCTCAAAATTTCCAAATTATTTTCTAAAGGGCTCTCTATGCACATTTCTGGAGGCAGCACAAAGGTAATTGCATGAATATTGTATCATGTATGTTGCTTGAATTTTGCATGAAATATACTCCACACCTCTGCACGATAGTTTAAAACGAACTCTTCTAGTTTTTTTTAATCATAGACATAGTTTATAATATTTAGAATGATTTAACTTGGTTTAGATGTTTAAGGAGATGCAAATTATTTCTAAATAAATATAGGAAATAATTTAGTCTGATTTTTTCTCTCTTAAATCTTGAAGTCATTGTCATTGATAAAAGTTTAAAAGGATTAATTTTGATTTTTTTATGTATTTTAATTTACAACTTGATTAGTTTACACAAAGTATTAATATAATAGTTTGACTGCATGAAATTCCATTGAACTTCTTCCTTCCTAAACAAGTTTATTATTGATTTCTGTTCTAAATTTAAAATATTTCCCAGAAATAAATTCATGTTTCAAACTTGGGTTCTTTCAATTTTCTGTGGAAAACGTGTAACAGATATGTCTTTGAAGCATTGTTAACAGAAAGGATTTTATCTGTTTCATTTTTTCTTTTCTTTTCTGATTGGTTTGTGTGATATTGCTTTACTAACGTATACCCCGCCTTTAGGCCTATCCCGTGAGAACAGCACTGCCTCCCGGCCCTCCAGTGCTATGTCAGGCGGAGGGCGGGGTCAGGTTCGCCTTCGCTCCGCCCCCACACGTCGTCCTCGTCCCTTGAGCATAGCAACTACAGGAATGACGTCCTCTACCAACGGGATGACGACCTCTATGTTTGAGGACAGACAGCGACCTCAGCTGCGGAATAAAGCCTGTACGTGTGTTTGTATTTATTATTTTACACTTACACGCCTAGATTTACATGAAGTACATTTCCCCACGACATCTTCAGGGGTACACAGTTTCTAGTATATTTGAAATGTTTTTGCAAATTTTAGTATGTAGGAACAAAAAACTATTTTTAGCGGAAAATAAATTAAAATTTTTTATGGTAACGGCCCAGTTCTTCAAAATACATACCCCCTATAAAAAACAAAAACATTGTTCCCTTTCCTATAAAACCGGGTGTTGTACAGAATAAGTAGTTGTATAAATTGAGGATATATTGTTAAGACCTAATATTATCTTTCTCTTAGAAATAAAAATGCGGCAAGCAATGTACACTGTACAGTGTACACTCAGCTGATTTATGACTCTTCCCGCATTTTTACTTTTACGAGGAAGACGATATTATCTCCACAATATATTACTAGCTGTGGAGAATTAAACTAACCTTTTGTTTTTGTGAGTGAAACTAACTATTTACACTAGATAGAAACATTGTGTGATTTTGTTTTATTCCTCTTCTTTTTTATTATGGGGGGGGGGGGCGATAGTTAACATTAAAAGAATGATTTGATTTGATTTGATTTGACCTTAGCTTAGGCGTTAACGCTTTCCTGGATTAGAAAATTGGGGTTGACATGAACATTAAAATGTCTACACAATTTCTTGAGAAATCTACCCTCCCCCCCTTCTTTTTTTTGAAAATTATTTTCCCCTGCTTTATCAGAAATGTTCTAGTGTTATTTTTATCACTGAATTTATGTTTTAAGGAGAGAAAACAAAAACAATTTGGATCAGAAAACGGAGAAAATAACTTCACAGTCCGAATATTTTCATTTTTTTCAATGAAATCTTTTTAATCCATTATTTCCCCTGAGATTTAGAGCATTTGTTTCTACTTGTGACTAAAAATCTATTTTGTATTCAGCTGCTACTCCCAAGATGGACAGGATGAAGAGAGCTAAAAGTGTGACCAGCGAGCATGGAATTGAGGATGATCAGAGGTAACAACTTATGAATCTCAAGCAAGGATCATGAATTTTCGAGATGCATTTTTTCTCATTTATTCTCATATTTTTATTTGGAACTTATTGAATAGCTTTTCTCTCAGAAAAATGATTATTTTCAGTTTTGGTTTCTCTAAGACTAACGGATTTATGTTATAGAGACAAGAAAGGCAATAGTCGGAAAAAACACAAAGAAAAACAAAAAATTTTTCTTGTTACTCAGAAAGAGGTTTAAAGGGTACCACTGTGAGAATGACAAGCCACCCTTTTTATAAGAGTTAGTAAAAATTACGGTTACAGTCCTTAAAGCCTCCACATGCATTTGAATTGATAAATAAGTGATTTAACAATAACATGTCAATTGTTTTATAGATTTGTTCTTTGTAGGAGTAACAGTAGTAGTACAGCTAGCGGGCCGATCAACTCAGCCAGTACTCCGGTCAGGCCGAGTAGTGCGCGTAAAACTCCGGCGCAGGTCAAAGCAGAAGCAGCCGCGAGACGATCAAAGGTATGTTGTACAGTCGTATGCACATTGTACAATGTACATGGACAAAAAATGATAGAAAAAAAAAGATTTCACAAAGATAACAGTTAATACCCCTGAAGCTGAACTAAATCATTTTTTATCGTAATTAGTCTGTATCATATCTATCTTAAGTTAGACTTTTTTTTCCAGTTAAATGATTTGCGAATTTTATTGGATTTTTTCTCAGGTCATTGGACGAGCAGGCCCTCCAAAGACAGGGAAAGGATCCAACTCTGTTAGTCCCGCTCTCTCCTCGGACCAGCTTCATGGAGGAGGTGGGGAGGGACTGGAGGAGGGAAAGAGACAAATTACCCCAGATATTATTAAGGTAACCGGAAGTTTACGCTTGGGAAATTGCACATTTTGGGAAGTTGCCACTTGGGAAAATACCCCTGTGAAGATGCCGCTTGGGAAAATCCTTCGGGAAAGTTCCTAACCTGAGCCCGCGCTTAAAAAGCTTCGGCTCGGTTCATAATTCCTTAAACCCAGCTTTAAACCCTAATCTTAGACTCAACTGATTTACAGCTGCGAGATCTTAGACTCAATGAAAAAAAACCGACCTTGGTTGGTTTTAGTGGAAAATAAGGCTCGATGTTGAGTCTTGCTCTCATAAAAACTCGGAATGCGCCAATTCCTACCATGAAAATCCGCCAAATAGAGTATTAAACCGTTTTTAAACTCAACTCTGGAAATAAGATGCAGCTTGAATCTTTAAGCTCAAGCCGTAAGTAAGGCCCAAGGACAACTTAGACCTGAGTCGTATATTTTAGAAGTTTTTAAATCGCCAGCTCTGGGCAGCACGTTCTTTCCGTATTTAAAAAAAATCAAGTTTTTTTTCTATTTTTATGCGTCACTCAAATATCTATGATGATATATCTAAAAAATAGCAAAATCTTATACTCTGCATTCTACAAGTTTTTTTTTATCAAATTAAGCATTATTTTGAAACTTCAATCTTATCAATAATGTGGAAGATACTATCGTTATACTGAAAAGTGTTTATTTCTGTGAGATTCTGCATTGCATCTTATAAACAAAGAATGTGCAAGTCACTTTCGCAGAGAAATCGCAAATGAAAAGAAACATTTCAAAGAAACAAAAACATTGATTTATAGATTCATGCTTGATCAGGCAAAGCTTTCTAGGGTACCTTCGTAAATCGGGCATTGCCATCTTTTGCATGAATGGGGGGGGGGGGTCACTTGAAATTACGCTCACAGTCCCTTTAACAGTAGAAAAAATCAATTTTTTTTCCGGTCAGTCCTATATCTTATGACAGCGTCAAAATTTGCGAGTTATCTGAAAACCTAAAAAACTTAAATATTTAAAAGAAAGGAATAGTTCATTTAAAATATTGAAATAAAGCAGAATAGAGAAAAAAGTTTTAACGCTTCAAGTAAAATAATCCCTAAACTCTCTCTTAAGAGGAAACTTTATATTTCTCCTTCTTCAGGATAACGGGAAAAAGAACAGTTATGGTTCTATCTCTATGGAAGGAGGCGAGGAGAAGCATGATAAGGAAGGGAAGGAAGAGGCTGAGAATGAGAAGGATGAGGATGAGAAGGAGAAAGAAGATAAACCAGAGAAAAAGATTATTTCCAGTGAAGAAGAGGCAAAAGCTAAATTGGCTGAAAAGAGAAGGGAAATGAAGGCAATAAAATTAAATCAAATTAAAAAACATTTTTACTTCAAATGTTTTTTTTAACTCTTGCATGAATTCAAAATTAAACATAAATGAATCAGTTGATGGACAATTTTTTTATTGATATTGCAAGATTTTATTTTATTTATTCAACAAAAAGTGTGCCGAACATTCTTTGTAAATTGGCGAAATTTACAAAAAATTAGACTTTTAGGGCGCTTCGCGCCCTACATCTATTTCAACTTTTCATGGTGTTGTGTGAGCATCTTCTCTTTGTACAGTATAAAACAAAAACAAACAAAAAAGTTTGCGGATTTCATATATTTTTTTCGCGCATTTTCAAAATTTTACTAAAATAAAAAAACTTTTAAACGCAAATTTTTAAAATTTTGATCATTCATAAACCTTCCCTGTGGTCACGTGATGTCCCACAAAAAATTTGGGCCCGATCGGTCCAGCCGTTTTGACATTTATTGGATACAAACAAACAGACACCCAAACAGACAAACAGACAGACAAGCCAAATTTATATATAGACTAGAAATTCAAGGCGCTTCGCGCCCTTCTTTCTAGCCTTAGAGGGCGCGAAATCTCCTAAATTAATTGTGAACATGTTCTCTTTGTTACATCGTTAAACAAAACAAAAATAATTCCTAGATTTTCACAAAAAAATTCGCGGATTTTCAAAATTTTTAAAAATTTAATGACGATCGAATTTTGATGGAGACAAATATTTGAAATTTTGATGATTCATAAACCTTCCCTGGAGTCCCTAGATGTCCCACAAAAAATTTGGGCCCGATCGGTTCAGCCGTTTTGACGTTTATTGGATACAAACAAACAGACAGACAAACAAGCCAAATTTATATATAGATAACGGATATATTATTCACTTATTCGCCTCAAAGGTCAAATGTAAACCTTTCATGACCGCAAGAATTAAAAATTCTGCCACAACAAAATTTTGAAGTTTACAACATAAAAGAAAAGACAATTTTATGCACAAAACAAATGGTTTCGACGATAAAACATTAAAGAGCTACTTAAAAAAAAATAGCATGAAATGCTTTGAAAGCCATATATGTTATCTTATTTTTTTTATTTTAGGAGAAGAAGGAACGAGAGGCCGAGGTTGAGAGACTGAGGTTAGAAGAAGAGGAGAGGATAGAGCAGGAGAGGTTGAGGATAGAGGAGGAAGAGGAGAGGAGGATGGTTGAGGAAACAGAGAGGATTGCAAGTGAAGCAAGGAGGGCGGAAGAAGAGAGAATACAGAGAGCCATAGAGGTAGAGAATTAAAAAAATTTGTTAGAATTTTGTTTGTAATTTTTTTACACAGAATATTTTATCAATTTATCGGTTTAGTATAAAATTGATTCATTTATTGGTGTCGAATTGATTGCTTGCTTGGACGTTTAATTCTTTTTTTTGTTAAATTTTTCTTTGATTGATCTATTTCAATAATTCATTTAGTAATTAATAGTTTTTAAACTTATTTATCCTCGAAGTATCTAATCAATTCATTGATGAACTGCTTCATTTATTTATTTATCTATTTATTTTGTAGTTTATCGATTGATTCATCAATATTTGCATCAAGTAGTTGATTTTATTCATCAACTGATGGATTCATGATTGATTGATTCATTGATTGATTGCCTTCTGTTCTCCAGGAGACGGAAGCAGAGGAGAAGAGAGTGAAGGAGGAGGCAGAGAGGTCCCGGAAGGAGAAGGAGGAGAGTGAGAAGAGGAAGAAGGAGGAAGAGGAGAAGAGGGAAGCAGATCTCCAGGAGAAACTTAAAAAGGAGGAGGAGGAGAGGCAGGCCAGGAAGAAGAGGATTGAGGTAAACAATTAAATACATTTGGTTATCCTGTATCCAGATCCCCAAAAAAAATGTGGGGCAAAGTATTAACCAAATAATAGATTATATCTTCTCTCGAAACATAATTTCAATAATAGAAACCTGACATTTAATGGTCAATTAAGTTTTGGATATAAATACTTCCAGACAGAGAAAAATATTTATAAACTTGAATTTGATTAAATACTACTAAGCTGGACCTGGATCCGCAGTAAATCAAAATGGAATGAATCCCAATCACTTATGACACATAAATCATTTATATCAAATTTATCGTCTGCTTGACAATGCTTTACTTGTTTTTGACCTGTGACAAGGTTCCTCCGGCCTAGACAATCCGGTTGACCTGCTAATTTTGAATTCTATAAGATATCAGCCATTTAGGATACAAATTCACCAATTTGAAGGGAGTGACCGGCTAGACATGGTAGTTGAGCTGAGAATGCAGTATTGTAAAAATCCGTCAATTTAAATATTAGGAATTCTTCCAAATTATATTGGAAAATCTGACAAGTCAAAAAACCAGTCAGTTTGGGTTTAGATACGACCTTCCCATTAAATCATGGAAGGAACACAATCTACAGTGATAACCTGAAAGACCCTGAATTGATATAAAAATTATCAGACGATTTTAGGTATATATCTCTGGTAATATTAAACCCACAATAAATGCAGACCACAGTTTGGAAATGGCAGGACTAGGTCTATCTTCAGACTATTGTAATTCCAGGTCTTTCAGGTTATCACTGTAGTATAATTAAAAAAATAAATTGTCAAATTATAATACAGATTCTTTAAATTTTAGTAAAAAAACTGTTGTTAAATTAGGAGATAATGGCGCGGACTCGAGCTGCCAAAGAGACGCCGACCTCGACTCCGAAGAAGGAGGAGGTTGAGTCTGATAAACCTGCAGATATTCCTAGTCAACCATCACAACCACAGAGGTCAGATGGAATTCTGGGGTATCATATACAAGATGTTGTGATCTCTGTTTGTCCGTCTGTTTGTTCGTCCGATCATAACTCAGGAACACTTGGACCGATTTGCCTCAAATTTCGATCAGGAAACTCGGAATAGCCCCGGGAATGTTCTTGGTTTGGTTTTGAGATTCTAAATTGAGAAGGTCCAATTTTGTAGGGAAAAATAGCTAAAATCGTAATTTACGTCAAAGCGCGGGTAAACATTTGGACCTACTATGACTATCCTAAGCAATACTGGGTTACCAAGTTAGTATAATATATTTTACCTGAAAATAATCTCCCACTCCTCTTCAAAAATCATATTTTATTCCCTTGTATATCATGTAAAAATAGAAAAATATTTTCAAAAATTTTTAGTGTTAAAAGTAATCAGGGGGGGGGGGTTCCTCTTAATCTTCAAATTCAATCATGTTAATGAAAACAGATTTAAACCTTAGTTTTTACTAAAAACTAAAAATATTTCTGATAATTTTTTATATTTTTCAGTTTGGATACAAACGTGGATCCTACTACTCCAGATATTCTGGGAGACCTCTCCAGTTCTGTGCAGACAGAAAATGAGCGAAATCTAATACAAAATGGCGATGAGCATAAAGACGACCATTCCAGCCAAAATGGCGACCACAGCAGCCAAAATGGCGGTGATTCAGCCAGCAATGGTGATTTGATTAAATGTGACTCTAATGGTGAGCTAGAAAAGGGAGCATTAGACTCTCTTAGTAACAAAAGTGAAGATTCTCAAGCTTCAAATAAACAGTCTTCATTGCAAAGGTAATATAAATATTTATTTCTTTGGCTGCTCTGGGTTTCGTTTGGTGGTTAGTGTGTTTATATTTAAATAAAAGTCAAAACGGCCCAAATCTTTTGTGGTAACGAACAACCCAAGGAAGGATTATGACCACTGGCTAGTTGAAAAATTTTAAATTTTACTTCAATAAATATTGTGAAAAATTTGGGAAATCCACCAAAAAAAAACAGAAAAATTCGCGAAAATTTGTAACCCTATTTTTTTAATAACATAGAAACAAAAACATTTAATCGAGATAAATATGTTGTGAGAAAGATTGGCGCTACACTCAATATTTGTAAACCTAATTTGCAGTGCTTAGGATCCGGATCCTAATCCATTGTATCCGGAATATTTTGGCAAAAATATGCGGATCCACGGATCCGGATCCAAGGGGTAAAATATCAACCAAAAACTGCAAAAAAAAAAACTATTTTACTCCTAAAACCCAAATCTGAACTTTTGAAAAAAAAGAGAGATTAAAAAAATTCCTCATTTCTGAATGGTTCATAAGTTTTAGGACAAAAATAAGCGGAAAAAAAGTAAAATAAAAATTTGGAAATTATTTTTTTTGTTAATGAAAATTTAGTAAATCTTAAAGAAATCCGGATCCATTTTTTTCCAGTGCGGATCCAGGATCCGGATCCGCACCAAAATTAAATGGATCCTAAGCACTGTTAATTTGGTACAAATCAATGAGATTTAATTTTTTTATATTTAAAATTTACTCATTGTCAATTTTAAAGTCTGCTAAGCTGTAGATTATGAATATCAATTAACTATCATGATATACCACTTTTTGGAGCATATTTTTTCAAACTGATTTTAAAATGTTTAATTTTCTACATTATATAAATAGCAAAATATCAAATGTATATTGAATACAATATTTTACCTTCTCTATAATAATAATATTTTTGTTTCAGTTCGCTTATTGAGTTAGAAAACGGTAGCTCTAAAATGTCAGCTCTAGAAATTGGTAAGAAATTAACAGAAATTAACGAACTTAATTTTTTTATCTCAAAAACACATCTTTTCAAAATTTCTAAATAATTGAATTTATTTCCAGAGTTTGATGAAATCTTAGATCTTGGGTCAGAGGATAATAAAACCTCTTCCCAGCAGCCTCCACAACCTCCGATACTTGCATTCGAGCCCAGCTCTCAATCCACAGGTAATTCCCTGCCTCCGACTAATTTCTTTTAACCTCCGATACTTGTATTCGAATCCAGCTCTCAATACTCAGGTAATTCCCCGCCTCCGACAAATTTCTTTTAACCTCTGATACTTGTATTCGAATCCAGCTCTCAATAAACAGGTAATTCCCTGCCTCCGACAAATTTCTTTTAACCTCCGATACTTGTATTCGAATCCAGCTCTCAATACACAGGTAATTCCCTGTCTCCAACAGATTTACTCCATCCTCCGAACTTGAATTTGAGCCTAGCTCTCTGCCAACTGGTTATTTCACGCCTCCCACAGATTTCTTTTAACCTCCGATACTTGAATTCGAGCCCAGCTGTCAACCTACTGGTATTTCTACGCCTCCGACAAATTTCTTTTAACCTCTGATACTTGTATGCCGAGCTCTCAAACTATAGGTCATTCCTCGCCTCCGACAGTTTTCCTCCAACCTCCGAAGCTTGAATTTGAGCCCAGCTCTCTACCAAACGATTATTCCTGCATCAGCTATTGGTTAGGGTAAGACCAAGGAGTAAGGAATAGAAGGGAGATATAACTGACTCGGTTTGCCCTATCATATGATTATAAATGCTTTGCAGACGTGTACTTCATTTGAATAAGAAATATTTGTCTGATGTACAATTACTGCGTATACAATAACCTATTCTGAATATTTCTTATACAAATGGAGTACCCGTCTGCAAAGCATGCATAATCATATGGTAGGGCGAACCGCGTCAATTGTATCTCCCTTCTATTCCTTACTCCCTGAGTAGTAAGCGATTATATCAATACAATGAAGACGACTTTTTTGTTTAAGTTTTGATTGTTAACAAACTTTCTTCAATTTACAAGTTTACAAGTAATCAAAGAGACGCTTTTTTGATTGACAACATCTCTGTACTTCTATGTTTATGTGTATCCTTGCCCTTTAAGAGCTTGATATAAATCAAAATCGAAATCAAAAGTCGCCTTAATTGTATTGATATAATCGCTTACCACTGTATATTTATTACATTCACTTCAGTTATGGGACATGGCATGTAGGACATCCTTAACTCTCTGATTTGATTTTATATTTAGATTTTTGTTTCAGATTTGATGTCTTGATCAGCTGCAGAAAACCAGGGTGTGCTTCATTCTTTATAAACAAGATGGCCGTCACTAATAAGATGGCGGTCACCAAGATGGCCGTCACTAACGTTACTAACGTTGGGAAGGATGTTTCCCTCCCAACGTTAGCATGCCCGGACGCAGCTCCCGGATTCGATAATATTTCAAATTTTACATTTCAGTTTTAAAAACTGCTGTTATTACTCCCCTGCTCTAAATCACCCCGGAGTTAGATTGCTTCAGTCCTTGTTTCTTCCGGTTTGACCGGATTCCGCTCCAAACTGGTTTTCGAATGCACAACTTCCTAACCGTGCAATCCGCGAAAACTGAGTTTCCATATCTACGAGTGCTGCATTCAGAATCTACCAAAAAAAAGGACGCTCAATGATTTTTCTGGCAGATTTTCTCTCCGCGTTTTATCTTTGTGACGTTTAATGTTTGAGCTCTATGACATATTTCTGTAAACTCAGAATTCCTTAGAATATATAAATATAATATATATATGTCATATAATATGCATTATGTACAGGGTGTCCCACGAAACATGACAGTATGCAGGACGACTTGAATGTCGTCTTGATTTTCTTTTTGCGTTATTCCAGTTTTTCGGTCGGTTGGCCGGCTAATATTTAGCTTAAAGTCTAGGCTAGGTCAATATTTGTGATATCACTATTAAATGTTAAAAATTTATCTTTCCTAGCTCTCGTATCATATAAATAAATAGCGGATATAGATATATCAGTTATTCAATTTAATGTGAAATATTTTTATCTTTTATTTTATGTTAATAATTATATTTTATATTTTTAAGTCAAGGATCACATTTTAACTTTGTCATTGAATTACTTTCTTTTAAACCTTTAGTTTTACCAAATACTTTCTATGATTTTTGATCATTGAGCGTTTAAATTGAATTTAAAACACCTGACATTACTTATGAAAATTAAATCATCGTTATCACCTGTTTTTCAGAGAATTGCAAAAATGCGAGCAAACCCAATAACCGGTAGTTGACATAAGATTTGTATGAACATTGTTAATCTTGAACACTTGATCTCGATATCCAGTTTGGTTCCCTTGTAAATCTGAAGATAAATGCTTAATCTCTCAGTTAAAGTTAACTATGTTAGGAGATATCAGGAATGTAATTAATTTGTAGGTCTGAATAAATGGAAATTAATGCTTACCTGAGATTCACAGCAATAACATTTTGATCTACAGTGGTAGGCGATTATATCAATAAAATGAAGACGACCTTTTAAGGTTGATAGAACAAGATATTTTCGTAATAAAAGTTTACAAGTAATCAAAGAGAATTTTTTTTAATTTACATCATCTTTTGACTTCTATGTTTATGTGTATCCATGCTGTTTAACATCTTAATATAAATCAAAATTCAAATCGTAAGTAGTTTTCAACGTATTGCTATAATAATCGCTATTTCAGCTCATATTTTGAACTTCAAGCTACTAAATTTGCTTTATTATAACATCATAACGCACAAGATTGCGTAAATGTCGTCTTCACAGTCTGATGGAACCCTGCATACAAAAAAAGGCTAAATAAAGTTAAGTAACTATTTTTTAAAAATTATTATAAGCCTTTAAATGTTCATTTATTATTATACATAAAACGTTTACATACAAGTGTGATTAAACTAAGCATGATTATTTTTAAAATTTAAATTCAAAATGTGTAATCTATAATCTAAATTCAGTGTAAGACCGACATGTCGTTTTGATAATTAAATTATCAGTTGAACACATTAGTTGTGTTATGAAACGATCTTGATCAATTAGTCTTTATAATAATGATCTTGATCAATTAGTCTTCATAATAATGATCTTGATCAATTAGTCTTCATAATAATGATCTTGATCAATTAGTCTTTATAATAATATGATCTTGATCAATTAGTCTTTATAATAATGACCTTGATCAATTAGTCTTTATAATAATGATCTTGAGGTTTTAATGAAATTACTATACAATCCTCTAGTAATTCTTTTAATATACAGAGTGTCCCACTAAACATGAAAGTTGTTGAATAGTTTTGAATGTCTTCTTCCATATATTATATTGGGTATTAAAGACATTTTGCATGTCATTTCGTTTAAAACATCTTTTTCTCAAATATATATTACATTGTAATAAATTTTTTCATCATTCTCTTTAATATCAAACAACTTAACTAATTATGGAAGAAAACATTAAAACTTTTCATCAATTGTCATGTTTCCTGGGACACCCTGTAATTAGAAAAAATGGAATATCCGATAACTCGTTAAAATTTGAAAGAATTGCATATGAAATTTAGAAATTTACATAATAAGTAACTTTACGAGATCCTTGAACAGCGAAATGACGGTCGTCTTCTCATTTTTGAATTAGAAATACCGTTGATAGTCGGACATCACACTCTCTATACATGGAGAGTCACTTGGAATTACGACTGTAGACTGTAAGTGTACGCCCCTGGTTAATTTGAATTTGAAGTTCACCATACAGTGCATTTTTTCTCTGGATTCATCGGAGACTCTCTAGGACAATTCCAATCCTTGCTGAATTCCTTCTGGTTTCGAAATGAACCATTAACACGAAACCTTAAAAAAATCCATCAGTTGGATTCGGAAATTGTATTGAGAGAAAGGTTTTAAACTTGTTTTGCGAGGGAGGGACACCCAAGCCGCCATGAGCCTCGGCTATATTGCTTAACTTGTATTCTTGTGGACAAGGAAAATATTTAAAGAACACAATTCTGGATTGAATTCAGTTTGATCTTTGATTGAAGCCATAGTTTTAATGCAAAAAAAGTTCAGATTTAGAAAATTTGTAAGATTTTTTTAGCAATAGATTATTATGCATCTAATAAAAAACATATTACTTCAATCAAAGATTAGAACAGATGAAATAAAATTCATTTCAGAATTTGTTCTCTAAGTAACGTCATTTCCATGCATAAAAAAGTACTTCGTTTACCCACAAAGGATGAGACTTGTCTCAACCATTTCATTACGTTATTTTTCTTCAAATTGATGATTCCCTTTGCCTCTTTTATCATTTTGTTTTCTTTGTCAAATTATTAAGCCCACCTATGAAAAATCACGTTAAAGACTGGAGACCAAACTTTACCTTCGGAGAGACGATAATAAAGAGTTTCATACAGTTATTAAAGTCTCATCCTTTGTGGGAACCCATCATACTATGTATAAAAAGCAAATCTGGGAGGCATACAGCGATCACAAAGTTGGTTAATGGGCGATTTTAAGATGGATTTAGTATAATGAGTCAGTAATTGAATAATCATTAGACTTTGTGATATTTCAAGATGCAATACTCAGTCAAATTTGTCAAAAATTTCATTGTAAAACAGTTTAAGAATTCAACACACAAAATATTAATCTTAAGTAGAATTGAAAAAATGATTTGAGTTGTGCTTTTTTGAGTGACGCGGCTGGATTTTTATAAATCAGACTTTAAAGGCCCTAAATATATCATTTAGAAAAGTAGTTTTGCCCGGAAGAGTCAAATGTGGTGGTACGGAAGGGGAAATAGTGGTGGCTCATGGCTGCCGGAAGAGAAAAAAGCTAATATGTGGCACGGAAGGGGAAATAGTAGTGGCTCATAGCCGGCCTTTCCCCGCTCGCACCACATGGAAGCTCCTCAGATCCAGAACAGCTGACTAGGGGTGTATGGTAATCCTGGTAAAGGTTACTCTTTACCCTTCATCTTTACTAACCTCTCATATGCCCTAAAATTAGCAGAATGCCGACTGTCATGCACCTTGAAATGACTTAGTCAAACCCAAGTATAATTCTGAAAACTTTGTCCCAAAATCTCCTTAATATTATAATCATTGTGTGACTAGAATTCAACATTCTGAAAATCCTTTGGGAACGCATATGAGAGATTGTTTAAGTCGAAGGGTAAAGAGTGGCCTTTACCTGGATTACCATACATTCCTCCTGTTTTGGGATAAGAAGCTTTAATTTGATGCAGCTAACTCACTGCAAGAAAACGCCCAGAACGAGGGAGGGGGTGTAGAGGCGCCATGATCCCCGCAATAATGACCTCCGAGCCTCCAGATGTAAAGAATGACCTCTAGGCCCCGCGAAACTGTCTCCCGGCCTCCATGACGTCACCAAGCCTCCTGCCCAGGGGGCGGGCATAACTCTCCTAATTTTGCCTGGCTAGGTTTATACTGTACAGTGAATTTTGTCGAAAAATGTTTCCTTATGACTGAGTTGGTATCATAGAGTACAGTGGGTTTAATCCTAAGTACATCTATTTGTACGGTATTGTGTGGACAGTTAATTTTAATATTTTTCAACAATGAGATATTGTAGTGTCAAGAATTGTGTAAACAACGATGTTTCGGGTTCGAAATTTTTCATAACATACGAAAAGAGTGGATAGAACAAGTTATCTGGAATCCAAAAAACCCAATTTTTATATGCAGTGAACAAAAATGTAAAAAAATGGATTGCGTCAAAAGCTTTCAAAACTGGTTCTCCTACAAAACCAATAGATTATTTATAATTAAAAATGACTTGTTTCACGTTAAGTTCATTTATGTAAAATAAATATTTCAACAGTTTTCAGTTCTTCAATAACTTTAAAATTAAGTCTAACCTAATTTAGATCTATTATTAGTTGAGAATTGCTTTTCATTCTAGAAGTCAGAAACATATATTACTAAGAGTTAATGCACAATGTAGATTTCAGAAGTAAAGAATTTGATAAGAAGCAAGAAGTTATTGAGAAGGATTTTATTTTTTTTCTCTATTTGTCATGTCTCATTTTTATACAAAAATCATATGGGCTTGTTTTCTTTGCTTGAATATTGTAGGCTTCGGATTCAAACTATAATGTCTTAAAACACTAATCTACGAATTGTGATCCCCCCAGGTAGAATTTCTGATCGGGTCGTTGTGTACAGTGGCTGTACAACAAGAAGTCTAAAATTCCAGATGCCCCCTCTATTACTAATATCTCGATGCTCCTGCCATTCTGTCTCCACGCCCAGCATTTTGGTCTCCGCTTCTTGTTTTTATTTTTTGTTTAATTTTATTGGCTTAAACAAAGAAATATCAAAATATATCTCTTCATAGTAGACTCAGTCATAGTTTAAAGAATCGTCTAATCAACAAATTTGACAAATTAATTAACTCAATTGATCTGAAGTTGTTTTTTCTGTGAAAGTTAACATTAAGATGGAATGAGTAAAAGACGACCTTTATAAACGACTTATCTAATATCTTTGAAGACATCATGATTTTAAGATTATATTAACTCTATTGATTCCTTAGCATTACATTTTATCATAAAAATGCAAATTAACGAGGATCTGTCCTATGTCCTAAAGTATACAAGTTTCTACGCCCCCCCCCCTCTCTGTGTATCAATTTTTATTTAAATGACTAACTCCTCTAATTTTCAATATATACTTAAATATTTATAATTAAATTGAACTTATTAAAACAATAGGATAAGACACGAAGCTGCCCTATTCTGTTAGTATAGCATGTAATAGATTTTTAGATTATTTTAATTCTTTGTTTCGATTTAAAAAAAGTTGTTCTTCAATATTTTCTAAAGCATACAATAAAAGCCCAAATACAAGGATTTCACAAAAACTACAAAACTGCAATATTTCTTCACAATTTAAGGAATTTGTGACATTTAGAAAAACAAAAATCAAGCCTTTAATTTCAATTAAAATGCACTATTTGATTCAAATTGTTAACGTATCATTCTGAACTATTTCATCATGTTGAGAATTTTTGAAAAAAAAGTTTTTGGAGACAGAATGGTGAGAGGCTTGGTGACGTTACTGAGGCTGGGAGCTGGTTTCCCGGGGCATGGAGGCCATTCTGCAAATCCGGAGGCTTGGAGGTCATTTTTGCGGGGATCATGGCGCCTCTGCACCCCCTACTTCCCAGGGCACTCATCCACCATTAGTGTTTCATTAAATATGACGTTGCATAAGAGACTACTTAAAAAAAAATAACACATACCTCTAACCTTGGCATTCCAAAATGTATTCTGTGTTTTTTTTGTGACAAATATTAAAGAAGATCTTTAAGTGCTTTCTCAATATTCATGTAAATTTTGTAGGGTTTCCAATTGAAATTCCGTTGCGCAAAATTGCGCGCAATGATTGCTTCCGCTTGCGCCATTTCATTGCGCGGAGCTGCAAGTTCAATTTATTGTATGCCAAAGTTTAAATTGAAATTTTAAAATCCACTTGAGTTGGAAACCCTAATATTTGGACACCCTGTATACAGTAAGGCCTGAGCACATTAGTACTTATTTTAATCCGCTTGTTAACAGTTACTAAAATTAAGTTCTTTTTTTCTGTTTTTTTTTTTACAAAACTTCCTTTTATTTAAAAAAACAGCTGATTTGTGCTTCCAGTTGTGCTTAGAGGGAAAATTTCCCCAGCCCAGAATAAATTGATACCTGGATGGTGAATGAGGGTCAGTAAGAACTCTGCTCTTCAAGGCTTCATCCCGGATTGAGCTGCACCATATTGAAGCTCCTGAGAGCCAAAACAGCTGACGAGGGGTGTACGGTAGTCCCGGTAAAGATAACTCCTCACCCTTCATCTTAACTAACCTCTCATATGCCCTAGAATTATCAAAATGGGGAACTTTTCTGACGCTAGTTACTATTTGTATAAAAATACATTAGTCATAAATTAAGCCTTTTTTTACCTTTTAGGTTTAAAATATTTATACAATTTAAAATGTTTAGTCTAGAAATTTCATTGCTTAACACGAAGCCAAATTTATCCAGACTTTTTGTGGGCTTTCTTACTAGTTTTTCAATGCTGAAAGTAACGTTAATAAGCTCTCAAATAAATTTTTTTTTTGCCAATGAGGTTTATCCTACTTCTAAGGTTGTACCAAACATTTAGTCTCCGCCATGCAAATGTCAAATATCAGAAGTCCAGATTTTGTTACCAGACATAGTTGCCATGGGAACCATCAAAGATTTCAGGAACAAATATTTTGCTGTCATGCATTAGTTTACCTGTAAGCTTGTTTAAAACCTCCGTTGTCAGCAATATTCTCTCCCTGCGTGTTAATTCCATTCACATTCAACACCTCATCAGCAACATCAACAGTGAAGTTTCCATATTGTTCTAAATAGAAATCCTGTCAATATTAGTAAACAAAAATTCGCTTAACCCTATTCCCCTTTCTACTTTTTCCTATGGTTCTTAGCATAGTAAAACTACCCTTTTTTTGTTTAATCTATTTGTTATGTCTATTGCGAGCAGTGAAGGCAGGCGGCCGTGAGCTGCCTCTTTTCTATAGGGTATCCTATCATTCTTGATATTAACACTAAATCCCCAACAAGTTTCAAATGTGTCTTAGTATCCATTAAATTGTAACTAGAAATAATACTAGGGATAGTGAAAAATTATTGTCCACAGTCTCTTCAAATGTTTATTCTTACCTATTATGCACTGAGCACGTTGAAGATATGTCTGCTTAGTCTCCTGTTGCCACCAGTTGACAAGGTTTCCATCGCCATCCTTCTGACTTCCTCTATCATCAAATCCATGTGTGATCTCATGTCCAACCACTGAACCAATAGCACCATAGTTCATGTAACTTGGTCTGTCATCCTTGAAAAAGATACCATCTAGTATTCCAGCTGGGAATTTAATGGAGTTCTCTTTTGAACTGTAGAAAGCATTCACAACTGCTGCTCCGCCACGATTTTTCCAACTCTGGTTATCAATTGGTTTTCTAAACTCTCTAATATAGTAGTTACTTATGTAGTTTGACAGGTCTAAATAGTTTTGCAGATAGCTGGTAGAGGAGATACTTAAACCTTCATAAAACTCATTGATGAGCGTATTATTTATTATCTCTCTAGCATAACCGATTATTTGGGCCATCTTGTCCACTTTAGTCTGAGCAGCTGATTTAGTTATTGCATCCATCCATTCAAGTTCATCCAACATCAGTTTAAACTCATCCTTAATACTGTTTACCATTTCTTCAGCAACAAGCTTACTGCTTTCAGGGAAGTATTCTTTTGCATACATAGAACCAATGGCATTTGTCAGAGAACCTTCGTAAAAGTAAAATTTACTGGAAGTAGCTTTAACACAGGTCTCCCATCTTGGGCTTAATTCCTCCTTTCCTGTAAGGGCCTTTGAGAACTTTAGTTGTATCTGGCGGACCTCTTTATCCATAAGAGAAAGGATACTCTTGATGTATCTCCAGACTTGATAGTTAGATTGCACCCGTGCTGGTACAGTGGGTAGGTACTCTGCTAACTTAATTATGTACTTAGGTACTGCAACATTTATCACTTCATTTGAGGTCAATGGTACTTCCAGGCTGTTGTGCATGTTATTGATATGTTGGGTCCAATTAAATCCGGGGTACAACTTGTTACCTTCTTCTATAGTCATCTGATTGTTTAAGGCTGAAGTATTTCTGCGCTCTTCTTGGGGTAAAGTTATCTCTGCAATCTTCAACTCAAACATTAGGGACTCCTTTAACTCTTGCTCTGCTACTTTTCTTTGAGCACCTAGATAAACTGCAGTATCTACCATATAACTGTAATATGCTTGGACATCTTTATCCTCAAATCCTTTGATTAAATATTCTCGATCAAGGCCAAGTCCTGGTTGGTCTACTTCCATTATTCTTCTAGTGCTGTTGTCCAGGTTTGTTGAAATACCAAAACTGAGAATGACTCCGGTAAACAACCCTATTCTGTTAGCAACCTCCTCTAAGTCATGAAAGGAGAAGTTATCTTGGTTCCACTGATCCTCCTGCAGGGTAGGCCAACCGCCAAGCTCATTTATTATTCTCAGCAGTTCCTGTCTTCCTGTCTCCTCAATATTATCCTAGAAAAGAAAAGAAATTTGAAATTAAGTTTTATTTATGTACAACTTCAGATTGGACACATAACTGTGATATAGGAAGTAGGGTTTCCATTCGCAAAACTTTTGCGCAACTTTTGCGGAACGAAACGCAAAATTTTTCTTTCTTTGCGCATCAGTTTTGCGCGAAAAAAAAACAATTTGCGCAATCATTCGCAAAAGTCATTTCGCGCAAAATTGCCTTATTCCGCTTTTGCGAAACTCAAGTTTTGCGCAATTCCGCAACTAGAGTTTTGCGCAATACCGCAATTTTGTAAAAAATCAAACGGTTGGTGACGGTGTGTGTTTCTTATAATTCAATTCTGGAAGAATCTTGTTTTAGAATGTCTTCCTATTGGTCACTTTTACATAATTGACCAATGACAGTTAGATGAGTTCAAATCTCACAATTTTCTTGATAATTTTAGTTTTGGACATTCATATTTCCTAAAAGTGGATTCTTCAGGCATTGGTTACTATCTTGCATTATTTTATATGAGATTAAAAAGATTTCAGAAATTTGATTTAAAAAATTTCAGAATATAATTCATACTTGATTAGGCAAAGCTTTTAAGGATCACTTGAAAATATTTAATAGGATTAAAATATTGCCAAGTTTCACACTCTCTGATTTCTATTTTATTAATTTTGGTCTCTTAATTTAAACTTTTTGTAACTGCAGAAGTAACCAATTGAGTGTAGTACAAGATGTCCCAAAAAACATGGGAATTCAGTGACGAATTCGATATCGTCTTTGTTATGAATTAGCATTGTAATACCTAATTTCAAAAGCCATAATATTATTATGTCTGCTAGAGTTTATTTTATGAAAGGGGTAAAAGACTGTAAATATGTGTCTATAATGTCTCCGCAAGATGAAGAGTGAATACGGACAAGTTTACTCTGTTTGTATACTGCAATTTGCTTGTTTTACTAAGTATAACCGTATGCAGTCAAAACATAAACAAACAAAATGTGAACATAGCAGACGAAACTCTTACAGATTATAGCTTTCTTAGTAGGTATCACTATACTAAATCAAAGAATTAGTTAAAAAGACGATATCGAATTCGTCACTGAATTCCCATTTTTTTTGGGACACCCTGTATAATCGGTATCCTACTCGTATGTTAATATTTTATTTATGTATGGAATAAATCTTCTGTTGTTTAATTCTAAGCTTAGAATATCAATTTTTGACAATTTGCCTAAAAAGTTACATTTTGCGTAAAACTTGCGGTTTTGCGCAAATTGCGCAAAAAATGGAGCAAAACTAAAATTTCGTTTCATGCGCAACTTTCGCAAAAAATATTTCCGGTTTTACGCAAATTGCGCAAAAAACTAGCTCAAAATCGCGCAAAACTCATTGCGTTTCATGCGCAAAAATAGCGCAAATTTTGCGCAAAAAATTTAGCCATTTCGTGGAAACCCTAATAGGTAGAATGCTTTTGGACTTCAGATAAGTTATTAACCCAGTCTAATGAACATGAAACACAGCAATTCAGTGTCATTTAAAACAAAAATTTCTCGTTATGTCACAAAAATTTCTGGAATCATACGTACTGTATCATCCCATTAATCCAGAAAAGGATTTAAAAGCTTACGGGTTATGGAAATCATTCTGGAATTCTGGGGTTTTCAGAGTTTTAGTGATGACCCTAATTTTGTTAACAAATATGATTTTGACAAATGGCTCAGCCAGGCAAACACAAGCAAATGCTTATAACATTTTTAATTTAAATGAATAGTAATTTGATGAGCCTGTTCATTTTGGTTTTAAAAGAAAGGAATAAATCTTGAATGTACCCAGCCCTATACTTTATTTATCTGAACACTTATCAATATTTTTCTGTTTTTTATACCTCATCCATACAAGCTGAAAAGTACTTTCGCACAGACTTGTATACTTCCGGTTCATCAGGTTTAGGACTTGATTCAAACAGTTTCCTAAATATCAGGTTTAGGACTTGATTCAAACAGTTTCCTAAATATCAGGTTTAGAACTTGATTCAAACAGTTTCCTAAATATCAGGTTCAGAACTTGATTCAAACAGTTTCCTAAATATCTGGTTTAGGACTTTGTTCAAACAGTTTCCTAAATATCAGGTTTAGAACTTGATTCAAACAGTTTCCTAAATATCAGGTTTAGGACTTGATTCAAACAGCTTCCTAAATATTAGGTTTAGGACTTAATTGAAACAGTTTCCTAAATATCAGGGTTAGGATTTGATTCAAACAGTTTCCTAAATATTAGGTTTAGGACTTGATTCAAACAGTTTGCTAAATATCAGGTTTAGGACTTGATTTAAACAATTTCCTAAATATCAGGTTTAGGACTTGATTTGAACAGGTTCCTAAATATCAGGTTTAGGACTTAATTCAAACAGTTTGCTAAATATCAGGTTTAGGACTTGATTTAAACAATTTCCTAAATATCAGGTTTAGGACTTGATTTGAACAGTTTCCTAAATATCAGGTTCAGGATTAGATTCACAGTTTCCTGAATATCAGGTTCAAATCCTCATAAAACGAAAACTTAAAATCGGTAATTTAGAATTTGAACCAGTTGAAGGTAGTTCAGCGACCAAGCTCAAATGCATTAAATTCGGTCCCTTTGTTAACTTTTTTCTTTCTTGTAAAGGAAATATGCTGACCTTAGTCGCATGTTTAGTTTCTCTCCAAGTACAGTAAATGATCCTAAAATGTTAGAAAAATGTAAATTTGCATTTTACGTACAGGGTGTTCCAATAAACATGGGAATTGAGGGATAACTTGAAAGTCGTCTTTAATGTCTGATATTTAATGCATGGCAAAGAAAGTAAATAGTCGATACTGTACGTCTGACGAGTTTTTCTTGTAGACCACATTTTAAAAAGCTCAAGGCCAAGCGTTTTCAATATTAGATGTTTAAGCTGTACAGCAATAATTGTGTTAATGAAAAAATGCCGCATGAATCGAAGACGATACCAAAGTCGTCACAGAATTCCCATGCTTATTGGGACACCCTGTACAATAAGAAATATGTTTTTTTTGATGTGAACAATTATAAGACTGGATTTTTATTGCAACTTGTAAGGTTACCCAAACAGGATAAGATTCGATATTGACGATCTATACAAGTTTGAAGTATAACAACCTAGGGGTGAAAATATAGTTTTTTGGGAGAAAGTTTTAACAAGATTAAATTCAGAAAAAAAGGCTTCATAAATTCTGTACAAGATATGGTTTTAACTTCGAGTAAGTTTCAAATATCGTCGTTGTTCGAATCAAACTTGGAGAATCATAATATTTTGATCAGGGGCGGAAACGTCATGTGAGTGTGTGTAAGGTTTACCGAACTTGTCTGCAAAGCAGTTCGATTGGCTTTCTCATGCAAGACCAGCGCCATTTCCTTTTTTCCCTTTATTCCTATTCCCTGATTTTGATGTGTTTTGATATTTAATGTAAATAAATGTGGTATTTAAGGTATTTATTTTGAACTAGCTCATTTAAGCGAATATTTTAGGGTCGTTATTTAAGCCTCACCCTTTGTGGGTAACCCTGTACAATGCAAGGTTTTAATGCAAGGCAAGTTAATTGCAGTTGCGTGTACTCTGCGTACATATTGAAAACAGTTCTCTCTGGGCGGAATTTGTAATCAAGAATAGATGCATCAATGTTCGTTAAGTATCCGAGGAGGTTAAAAGCATTAAATTTTGATAATTTTGATAATTCACATAATACTTTCCCATGACCAGAATACTTCATTGATTTTTTTATGTGAAAGATGGATCCCATGTCAGGCTTCGACATCCGTCTTGTGTTTACATTAACGCTCAGAGATAGTACATTGCAGTACAAAAGATGCGCACACCTCTTAAATGACTTGCCTTTCATTATAACCTTGGTAAAATGTACATACTCATTTTTAATGTTATGCAGATAGAAGTTAGAAAATCTATTTCCCTGTGACCATAGATTAATTAATAATAACAAATAGAACACTATATGTCGTCTTTTTAAGATTTAAGGGTTTTTCGTTCACAATAACCCTGAGGCAGAAGCCCTAAGCAGTTCCACGGCAGCGTTGAATTACAAGACTGTAAGATAGTATACGCGTAACTGCTTTTGGCCTCTGCCTCAGGATTATTGTGAACAAAAATCTTGAAAAGACGACATTTAGTGTTATATCTGTTATTGTTAATTAATCTATGCCTGCGAGCTATAAGTCTATGAATAATAAAATAAAAAACAATTTCTATTTTTAAAATATAATAATAGTAATTATTTACCTATACTAGTTTTATCATCAGGAATAGTCGTTTCTTTAATAAAAGTTCCACACGCAAACTCATAAAAGTCTTCACAAGGATCCTAAACAGAATTATAAAAAATATTTTTTTTTACAAAAGCAAAGTATCAAGTATAAAGACATCAACTTCTCCCCCCCCCATGTTTAGAGTACCCAGCACAAATATATAATGAATGGCAGGGGCGGATACAGGATTTAAGTGCTACATATATTTCGGAAACAAAACAAAAAACAAGATTTAGAAACCAAAATACACGGCGCAGGCGAAATTTTTTTTAAGATGGATATTTTTTTTATTTTTTTTTCTCTTGGGTTTCTTTCCCTCAGGTGCTATTGAGAAGATATTCTGAAATCTCAGGGGCGTACGCCCCCCACCCTGAATCCGTCAGGCGGGTGCAAAGGTCTTTTTTCTTCATTTTAATGACACTGCACACAATCTGTGAGCGGTCCAATATTTCAAAAATAGTTTCTGCTAAGTTTGCATAATTCTTTTTCTGTAAGGATTAAAAATGTATAAAGGAAAACAAGTGTTAACACTTTGAAAAACTTCTCAGGTTTTTGTTGAACCTTATAAAATCTTTAAAGTTTAAAAACAAACAAAGTTTAAGGTTCCTGCAAAAGTACAGTAAGACCCATAACACAGTGAAATATGATGACGTTTGTTACACTAAAAGTTTGATTTAAATAGTCCACTGAACATTAAACACAGAGTGCAGAGTACACAGACCCTTTTAATTAATAAGTTGATTTAAAAAGCTACCTAGAACAAAATCATATACACATGATGCCTAAATATTCTATACCACAGTTTTTTAGGCCTCACTGTATTTAATATTATCTCGACAGCGTAGTGCGTACAAAATCTACCCCAGAGCCCGAAATTTAAAAGAGTATCGTTGAACAAAACGTTCGAGTTTCCTTTTTGGGGTCTTAACATTTGTTTAGATTTTAATTTAAGAGATTCGAAAAAAATGGAAAAAATTAAGAAACTAAATAACATAATATTTCATAACAAAAATACTGAGATCCACAAAACTGCCTAAACCCATCCGTGAAACCCGGGTTTTTCATAACGATACCCTGTCTTAAGTTTTGGGCTCTGAGCCCAAAACTTAAGACAGGGTATCGTTATGAAAACCAGTTTTGGAACCCGGGTTTCACAAATGGGTTTGTAGTTTTGTAGATATCGATATTTTTGTTTTGATATATTATTTTATTTAATCCTTTATATCTTACCATTTTTATCAAATCTCTTGAATCAAAATCTACACAAATAATAAGACCCCAAAATGGAAACTCGGAAGTTTCGTTCAACGGTACTATTTTAAATTTCAGGCTCTGAGCACAAAACATAAGCCAGGGTATAGTCATGAAACCCAGTATCAAAAACCCCGTTTTATGAATGGAGTAAAGAAATTTTGTAGATATTAATACATTTTTTAAGAAATATCATTTTGTATGGTTTGTTCTATGTTGTTCTCTCTTTATTATCTACTTCTTGGTGTTAATCTACGCAAATGTAGAATCTGGGGAGTTCTGTTAAACGATACTCTTTGAAATTTCACGGTCTGCATGCCCCCCTTTTTAAAGAGGTTTAAGTGTCCCAGCAGAGAAAGGGTTAAACGGAATAAAATCAGTTTGTTTACCATTTCAGGATTAATCATCTCTAGAAGAGTAGCAGCTGACTTCACACATCCTGGTGTTATGCAAACTCCTTTCAACTAGACAAGAGACATATAATGAAAATGATTATGATAATATTGAGCAGTGTCAAATGCCTTGGCAAAGTCAATTGTCAAGAGTTCTATTGCTTTATTTTCATCCTTACATTTTGCTATTACATTTATAATATTAAAAACTGCCTCCTGAATCACTTTAGTAGACGAGTAAGCTTTTTGCGTTGACAAAGTACATCTATCCAAATTTTTCTTTAATCTATAGACTATTTGAGTATGCCTTGGAGTATACTTAATACACATTGCTAAGTAATCTAATTGGACACCAGTTATTAATTTTTTCTTCGCAAGATTTTTTAGGGATCAGTTTTATGCTTGCACATCTGAAATTTGTTAAGAAAATACCTTTTTCTATCATTTTTTCAAAACCTTTCTGCATTGGTCTACCTATATATTTCCATAAGAATTTTAGGGCTGCATAGTTCCAACCATTTAACCCTGATGCTGATCCTACTTTGGTTTGATCAAGTGCTTCAGATAGTTCCTCAAGAGATATTTATACATTATGTTGTTCAGACAAATCATCCAGTAATTTTTTTTCATCTAACATTGTTAAGCTTTCTGGTGTAACTGTGTATATACTCTTGTAGTGGTTTATTGATTCCTTATTTTGTTCGTCTTTACAAACAAAATCAGACGTAGTGCCATCAACATTGGATTTTTTAAGCTGGGATAGAGAGTCATTTACCTTCATAGCTTTAGCTAGTCTAGAAAAACTACGAGTTGGGTTCTCATTATTAAATAGATGGCATTGTCGATTTTTTTCACAATTTTGTAAATTAATAAAATCTTCAATGTCCAACAGTTTTTCTCTAAATATAATTGTCTTTCAAAATAAGGATTATCTTGTTCTGGGGCTTCATTGCTAATTCTATTTAATTCTTTATTAGGTGTTATAAATAAATATTTGACTCTTTTTTATGCTTTCTTTGATTGGAAATGATTGCTAACTGTTTAACTGTTTAATAGTGTTTCAAAGAATTTGTCATTGTCAATTGTTAGCGTTGTGTTTCACACAAGAATTCAATGTCAGAAAAACAAGCTAAGATAATATTAACTGTCTCAAGCTTTTTATTTGTAAGTATATCTAAGAGAAGATCAAATGAGATTGAGTCTTTTATAAAAAGCATCAATTTTAGATCATTAAAAATTGTTCTACTATCAATTCAGCTCTCTTTGAGTTCTTCTATGAGTTCTCTATTAGTTTCAGGACATAAGTAGTCGGAAAATGTGTTAAGAGTTTCTATTAATGTTATCTCTAGCATGCCTTTAATATTTAAAGAGCTTGGGTATACTCTGTTATTTTTTAATGCTCTACCTGTGGTTAATTTTACTGGAGTGTGATCAAAATTAGAAGAAAGGCTTTGCAAGTAATCAATGTTGGAAAAGTATTTATTAAGGGGAACATAAGAACATATCCATTCACGATCTACCATGTGATGCATAAGAATTGGATAAGGGTTGTGGGCACAGTAGTGTTAGTTTAATTACTTTGTTGGCATATTATTAATTCCTTCAGTTCGACTAATCCTACTTTATCCTACTATAATGTACTCACATCCTCTGATTTCATGTATTGTCATATTTCCTGCTGCTTCATTAATTCCATTTCTTCATTAGTTCTCTTTTCTTTTTTTCTGATTTTAGTGAGACACAAAGCATATAATTTAACATTTATTAATTTCCATTTTATAGGACATATCTGACCACAAGATTATATTAGTTGTCCTGATTGTTGAATAAGAAGGAAAGAAGACGCAACATTTACCAATTGGTTGATTGACCAGCTCGCTAGATTTCTTAACATGAGCTATTTGTTTCCTTTTCTGAGCCAGAAGCATTCTCCACACCTGATAACAAAGAGGATAGCTACTCCAGTAAGAGCAATGGTTTTGATTAAATTATAATGGACTGCATTTGCTATTGTTATTCTCTTCATGTTTAAAGAGCTACTGAGCGGTCTGGCTTTCTCTGCTCTGCACGGGCATGATTAATCTTTACTCTGTATCATTCTTATGAATAATATTTTCACAGACAAGACTATTCCTTGGTATAAACATGGTGTAGTTTTAGTTTGTTTAGGCTCTTCTGTCATTTGCTTCAATTAGTTTTTCGCAAAAGCTGGCGTCTCTTGAGTTTGTTTCTCTGAATTTTTTGATTTGGACCATGCATTTTCTGAGATAAGAATTCCTCCTTGTGGCTTCATAAGTTTATCACTCATTGCTTCTAGATGAATAGATTTGTTTTTTGACTTCTTTGTTGATTTCTGACAGTTGTTCATTCTCCAAGTGTGTTAAGAGTGGGTTTCCCTTCATGAAGATGATGTTTTCTACTGTTAAGTTTATTACTCATAGGTTTGACTTGGTTTCTTTATTTATATCCAAATATATCATATAGATACTCATCTTCCCCCCATTTTGCGAGAGTTTTAGTATTTCTAATATTTGGCACATGTTTTATGTTAATAATATCTAATATTTGGCACATGTTTTATGTTAATAATATCTAATATTTGGCACATGTTTTATGTTAATAATATCTAAGTTTAGTATATTTTGTGCTGAAATAATACTATCTTCAGAAACCATGTTTAGGTCTCCACCGAGTATAATCTCTAACAGACCAATAAAATCTAACTTAACTTGATTAAGGTTTTTCATTTTTAGGTCAAATTTAAGTTAAAGGGACATTATCTCCATTTAGTGCTAAGAATGATTCACATCGGCACATGGAAACATAAATACTATCCTCATTGTTACTTGAATGAGGATATTAAATGTTAAAACTTGAATCGGACATGCCAGTCTCTTGAGACTAGAGCCTACAGTACTTTTAATGCTGGAAACATTACATGGACCTATCATTAGAAATTGTTTTTATCCAGCAATATCATAAATTGTGTAGGGAATAATTCAAGGGATTAGTTCAGGAGACATTTCAACTTAAATAAAGATTTGAAACTAAATTTGATTTAAACCAAAAAAAACTTTTAAAGTTTTAAAATATTTAAAGAATTGAAGTTATGATAAAAAGGTAAGGGGTAGACATATAAATTATTCACCTGAAAAACAAATACTGTTTCCAAAAACTCCAAAAGTTCCTGTTTTCCTATTAATACCTGTTTGCTGTTTTCAGGATCATCATTAAGAGTCTTGACTTCGCCCTGGGGGTTTCCACCTGCGGCAGACAAGCTAACCAGGAATACTATAAAGGACTTCATCCTCCTCTAGCGACTCTCCTCTTCTATTTATTTAACATACATATATATTTTAGTGCAGCGCCCTGCCTAGAAAGGATCAAAGGCCAAACAGAAAAAAATCTTATTTTTGAGTAAAAATCTTGTTGTATTGTATGCTCAGGTGTACAAATTTTGAAATATGTACATGTATTTAATATTTTTCACGTAAGCAGCCGATTCTTATTTCAACCAAAACCAAGCAAATTATTTTTAAGCGTTTTTTACCTTTTTGTCTGTGTTAAGTTAACCAGGTCTTTCCCTCTCTACGAGAAAGAAACGACTGCTCATTATTCGACTTTCCCGCCACACCCTCCCCTTTGTTTGCCCTTCATCTGTACCCCCCCCCCCCCCACCAAATTTTATCCACCTTCTAACCACCCACTCTCATTTATCGATTGTTATCTAATTTAGAGTGAGAAAGTGAGAAAAAATTTCTTTTTTTAGTTGACATGGTCTGGGGTCAATGATCTAGTGAATTTTTAAAGTTTAAAATCCTGTTTTGCTTTTCCAGCATTCATAGTTTACATTTAAATATTGAATTTTCTCCAACCATTACAAAGTTGTTTTCTCAGTTTTAAATGAGAAATCTATTTTTTTTAGTGCATGCATGACAGTCTTCCCAATTTAATGGGGTTGTAGGTATGAAGGGGGGAGGAGAGGGGAGGGGAGGGATCCAGATATATTTAGGTTTGAGTGTACCAATTCCAGTTTTTCCTGCGGGATTTCTAATCTTCATAAATCAAGTTTAGTTACTATAGCTACAGAGGATACAGACAGAGATTCCCCTTTACGTTTCTAGTTCAGAAACTGAATTTAAGGGAACCTGTTGGGAGGAAGGGGTGGGGCTAGGTTAGTGTGATGATTTAAAAAAAAGTTTTTTCTCACAATTTAACGATAACATCTTTTTTTTGTTATCTGATCAATACATCTTGTAGAATTGCATTAAGTGCAATATGCAATTGGTGGATTGTACATTATACTTGTATTGGGATTTATGTGTACACTAGGCTTTGAGGGTGCTTCGAAACCATCTTCTATTTAAATTGAACATTTCCTTTTTGTATATAAGGTAAACAAAAACAAAACAAAAAGTTTGCGGATTTTATAAAAAAAAAATTCGTTGATTTTCAAAGTTTAATTTGACAAACAAATTTTGTTGGAGGCTAAATTTGGAAAAAATGATCATTTAGAAACCTGCATGGGGTCATGTGAGGTATCACACAAAATTTCGGCCCGATCGGTTCAGCCGTTTTGTCGTTTATTGAATACAAACAGACAGACTAGCAAAGTACATATATAAATATAAAAAGTATGTAGAATGTGCAGTAATATTGTACTAGCTCAGGAATAAATATTCTCAGCATATTCCTAAAATTTACTAACCAGAGCTGAAAACTTTAGAATGTTGAATATCAGGATTAATGCTTGATCCTGTCTTTTTGTTAATCTCAAGATTAACATAATCTTGCAAGATTATCTTAAAAGTGTATGAAAAACTGTAATCATCTGAGAAACTGTAGCAGCCAATCAGAGAAAAGCGGACAACCAATTATAGAACAGAAATATTCTCATTGGAGAATTGGAGATATCCAGGGAGAGAGAAAAAGAGTGGATTAAGGACTAAAATGAAAAGTTTCCACAGTGGATATTCGGATCAAGAAGTCAGGATTAAAGTTTATCCATTCTAAAGTTCCCAGCTCAGGACATATTCGATTTTCCCCCCTCCCCTTTGCTTTTTTTGCTAAAAAATACAGTGAAACCCTTAATAACGAATACATCGAAAGAATTTATAAAACGTCGTATTCTTCACTTTCTGATAATGGAATGTTGCAGTTATTTAGTTTTTTAATTAAATGATTATATGGAACTCTTTAAAACTGTTCCCGCATATTCATGGCTATTTTTTTTTTTTGCAAATACTGAAATTTACGTAATAAAGTATAAAACTCATATAAATTCTTCCGATGTATTCGTTATTAAGGGTTTCACTGTAGGAGATTTTTTTTTTATAAAAGTAGATAAATATGGTAGTTAGCAACCATTTTTCTTCCAAAAGTATAAGAATTTAATGAAAAAATTCTAAAAAAAATAAAATGTTTAGCAAGAAATTCAAATATAAAAATTCTTTAAACTGCCTCTTTTTTTTCTTTACGACTTGCTTGATTTTAGTCTAGGAAGTGACGGTAGTTGGAAAGTGAAAAAAAAAATTCTTGAATAAATTAAGATTTCAATAAATCAGTGGTACCGCTACCACCGACTTTTCAAAATATTTACATTTATTAAATTTTGTTGTTTAAACCATTTCTACCATTTAATTTTTAAAGTTATATACATAAATCAATACAAATCTTTTTAAGATTTAAAATATTACTACTTTAACAACCTTCTATATACCATAAAGCTACTGTGAAAAATATGGCATTTTATACATACAGCCTTTCCCTTCCCCCCCTCCCCTCCCCCCTCCCACTATGGAAGACAACCCAAAGTTACAGCAAGGACTCCCCTCCCCCCCCATCTCAAGCTGTCATTGGATTAGACACCATGTATGACGAACATAGGTATTGAATGAATTGATTATCAATTATTTCATTCTTTATTAAATAGATATTTTATCAATTTCCAATTCTATATATTGTTATCTTTGGAAAAGAAAAATTGGAAAACCCCACACATTACCTATAAGCAGGGTGAAATTAAAATAAAAAAATAAAAAATAACCAAAACACAAACAAAAAAGGTTAAACCTTTTTTCGGTCGTAAAAGATTTATAAGAATGTAATAAATTGTGTATAAAATTTTTTTAAAAATGTGTTTATAAAAAAAATTTAAATACCCTAAAGACTGACCAATAAGTAAACATGATCAGTGTGTGTTCAACTATATCGGGGATTGCATGCTTGTCAAATATGGATGGATTAGTAAAACCAAAGTTTTGCAATGCACCAATTCATTTTCTCAAGGAATGCCATCTTTTAATCCCCAAGGGTCTATTATCTTTTATATATTTATCATTTTTTCTTCTTTTTTAAGAAATAATTTTTTTTAAGTATAAGCAACATTTATTTGAAATATTAACCCTATTCAGGTTGACGTCTGGTTTACCCCAAATTTGTTTTTGGAAAGCTCTTGGGCTCTACTTCGTTAATCTTCAAAAAAAGATTTGCAAATCTGCAAAATTTCATACATTTTTTGCAATATTAAGTTATGATGCAAATATTGTGCATAGCCAAAAAGTTTGTGAAATATGATAAATTTTCAATTTTGAAAAGCCCTGATCACTGTGAATTTAAATAAGCGAAAATATTTACAAACTTTAATAAGATAAATTTGTATTGTATCAAGGGTCTTGTATATATTTATCACTTTTTCTTTTTTTTGTAAAAAATTCATTTAAGTTTTTAGTATAAGCAACATTTATTTTAGGCCAACATCTGGTTTACCCAAAATCTATAACATTTGATACATATTGAAAAGCCCTTGGGCTCTACTTCATTAATCTGCAAATAAATTTGCAAATCTGAAAAACGTTTTAATATTTTTTTGCAAAATCAAGATTCTAAGCAAATATTGTGCAAAATAGAAATGTTCGCGTAATATCATAAAATTTCATTTTTGAAAAGCCATGATCACTGTGAATTCAAATATGCAAAATTATTTGAAAAAAATAAAAAAGTAAAATTGTATTGTAAACAAGGATCTTATATAATTATAACTTTTTCTTCTTTTAAAGTAAAAAATCATTTTATTTTTAAGTATAACCAAATTTTATTTCAAATATTAAATGTAATTTACAAATTTGCAGCTTGCTTAATTTTTTTCTAATGACTGTTGTCCTATAAAATGGCGTTCTATTTATCGTGGAATATGCACCATTTACAACGGTTCCCATTTTCATTTTATCTGACCAATAATTTGGAGGATATAGCTTCGTTTCTCAAGCTGTAAACATGCTTAATTCTTACAATTTACTTAAGTTTCTGTTACACAAATATTAAATATGCACATTGAATTTCCGCGACTCAAAACTCAACTTCCTCAGAAATTTTTTTATTTAAAAAGTCATACTCGGCTTTAAAACTGAAGTTACAAACAAGCTGGTTGTAGTTCTCAAATAACATGTCTAGAACTATAAAAATGTATAAATAGAAACTACAACTCAAAAATATCCATTTTCAAAGATAACAAATGCATCTTCATCATTCTTTATCAGACAAAGCTTTTCAGGGTACCGTTGTGAATCGGACATGCCAATCTTTACATTGAGAGCTATTTGAAATTACTTTAATCCACAGTTTAATCTAAGTCTTTTTCTCATGTATTTTAAAGATTTTTTTCTACTACATTACGAACTGGAAAACTGTCTAATAGGAAGACGACTTTACGACTAAAGTTATGATTTTAAACAGTCCAATAAACATGAAACACTAAAATTGTGCAGTGTGCACAGACCAATTTCACTTGATACGGAACTTTTAAACTACTTGTAAAATTATTTAATTCGTAACAACATATTCCATATTTATTTATATTTTTTATTCAACTAGAAAGCACGAGATAATACAAACAAAAAATCATAATTTGCTATGTACTTTTGGACCCGCCTAATTAGAGTAGGTTGTTTTAATTGATTTCAATTTCCACATTTATTGAAAATATATTTCGGTCTGGGTTGACCCTCGTCAGTTCTAACCATCAAAATAAAAAATAAAAAATGTTAAAAACCTCAAGAAAATAAACAAACAAAACAGATTATCATAAAAAAAATTTTAAATGGGCTGTCAACTGGACAAAAGGGAAACCTCAGATCCTGAGATTTAAAAAAGATAATTGCAAATATTTACTTTTTAAAGAATGTTTAAGAAAATTATTACTCATTGACATTGTTACTGTCATGAAGATTAAAAACAAACTGTTAAGTTTATATGTAAAGTGTATAAAGTGATGGTGGGGGTCGATCTAATTAACGAACTTTTACGTAAATCNTCTAGGCAGGGTATTTAAACCTTTTTAGAATTAGACATAAACATTACTCTTTTTTAAAAAATTACTAAATTACATTTTTTATAGTTTTTATTGGCCCACTATGAACGAATGATAACTGTAAATAGATACATGGGTATACACATTTAAACACTTTTATGTCGTCTTCATAAAGCTAAAAAATGTCGCATATTTTTTCAGGGTTTCCTATGGGGATTTCAAAATTTTTGAGAAAAATTCAGACATCAACATTTCATGGGGTCAATTGAGTTCCCATAAAGAAATGTGTCTAAGGTTAGGCAGTTTTCAGAAA